TGTATTGTTGTTGCGATTGTTTTTTTTTTTTTTTTAATTATTGAGATTATTTGGTGTATTATGTTTTTTATGTGGAATTTTTGAAGTATTATTGGGTTTTATTGTGGTGTTATTTGAGCGTTATTGCATGAGTTATGGTATTATTTCGGTTTTTGCAGTGTTATTTCAATGGTATCTTTTTTTTTTTTTTTTTTTTTGGGGGGGGGTTTTTTTTGTTAGTGGACACCGTGCAATAGGAGATGGAGGGATTCAAGGATAGTGTTCTCTAAAGCAAAGGTAACATAAGTGAGCCGGTTGATCACTATGTAGACTGATCTATAAATGGAGATCTCGGAGCCAAAAGAGTTCAAATTTGCGGGTACAACCGGGGAGTTTAAACCCGTGAATTTAATATTTTTAGTATTTCATAACTAGAAAATAGAATTGAAGAAACAAATACAAGAAATCCAAAAACAAAACAGATATCATAACCATATAATTCATATTCAAACTTCAAATTCTAATTGAAACCAACATATAAAAGTACACAAAACAGACATCAAAATAAAACAAGACAAAAGAGATCAAGTTGATGTCACTCCTTGATCACCGACAAATGTCAACCTTAAAGTAAGTTTTAAGCGCGTCGAAGATTCACTGAAAAACCCTTCCATTGATGAGCAATGACATGGTCAAAAGTAAAAATGATCCAAGAGACATCTGCTTTTTACATTTATACCATCCAAATCTTTCATATCACATCAAAAGTACCACTATTTTAACTTCAAGAAAATGAAATACACCTTTTCATGCATAGATAAGGAAGCCTATATGTAAAAGTTGAAGTTTATGTGTTAGATATGTGAATGAATTAATCATTGAGTGGTGATGCGTGTAATTTTTCCAAAGCCTTTTCCAAACTGCGTGCTTTGACAACAGTAATTCGCCACACATCATTACAACTCTATGCAAATGGCAATCAAAGAAGGCATCTTTATCAAAACTAATTAAAAGGAGCAGCCCTAAAATCATCGTCACCTACTAAATTCTCGAAGAAAGTTCACTGTAACGAAGGAAATCTCCATTACACTTCAGTACAATAAAAACAACCGCAATTCATTGAGAAAGAACATTATGAATGAAACCAACAGCACAGATGGTTGAACAATGATTTATACCAGATTGAATAAAAGAAAATCTTAGCAACTTGATGAATACCTCAATTTTCTATCAGAAAATTTTCTCTTATTTCACTTGAACAGAAAAAAAAAAATTTTGACTTTGGAAGTAAGAAAATATGATTATCTGAACAGTAAAAACAAGGCCTAACCTTGAGAACAGGGAAGCGAAGGGAGATTGAAGCTTAAACTGCGCTCTACAGCTTGAATTTGAGTATTCTTCTCCTCTACCACGTCAGTGAATCGCTTATTTCTGTTGACGAGTGTAATGGCCGAGTGACCCCGCAACTCAAGTAAAAAAGCCTGGGCCTCATCGCCCCGCGATAAGGCTTCTATGAATAAGCTGGATTTAAGCAGGATTTATCTTGGATCCTACCAAATGGTAAAAAAATCCAAGTAAAATCCTAGCGGTTTTTTAAAACCCCATTTTACTAGGCTTGTTAAATCCCGGTTTTAGTAAATCCGAGAGTTTGGCGTGCCAAAACAGCGAGTAGGAGATCGCAAAGAAGGTTGGAGGAGGAAGACAAGCGCTTCGCGATCCGGTCGATGCCTTCGCCGGCGATCTCCCGCCGTGATTCACCACCCTGAGGGATGGAAAGCTACCGGAGTACAATAAAATTTTGCCGTCAGGTCGGAATAAGGAAAAAGTATTACAGGCGCCTAGAATAATAACTTCAATAGTCCAACATCCCATGCGAAAAAAAAAAAACGGGACGGTAATATAGGAAATATTTTATCTCGTGTTATTCATGTGTTATTCTGTGTTATTTCTGGTCATGTGTTATTTCTGTGTTACTAATGTGTTATTGTGTTATTATAACACTAAAAATAGTCTAAAAATAGTCTAAGGACAATAACACATGAATAACACATAATAATACCAAAATAACATGGAGAATATTCCCGACAGAGAAAAAACGGCGCGGTAACACGGGGGATTATTTCCTCCTGTGTTATTTATGTGTTATTGTATGTTATTCATGTGTTATTGATGTGTTATTGTGTTATCATAATACCATGAATATTTTCAGGACACAATAACACATGAATAACACTGTTGAATTACTCGGGTGGGGGGAGGGGGGAATATTCCCCGTGTTACTGCACTATTTTTTTTTTCTGTCGCGTGGGGTGCCGTGGCGTGAT